TGGTTACAAATAATATTATATAGAGTGATTTATCAGTTTGGATACATAGAAATAAAAAATAAATAAAAACTAAAAACCATGTATGTCTATAGCATAAGTATGAGAGTGTGTGACTGCTAGTATGTCTGTGTGTATGTTTGTGTATAGATTATTTGGAGTAATTGTTCAGTATCTGTATATGAAAGTGCCTGAAGATATTCCACGAATCTATTTTTACATGACCAAATGTTGACTTCTTAAATAGACAGTTTTTGGTGTAATTTATTATATAAATACGAACCCAAAAACGTGAAAAATTTCCTAGCGAGAAATGTGAAGCAAGGCACTGACTGAGCTACCAGATGATTACGGCGATGTTGCTTTTGAGTATGTTGTCTTAAAACTATATGAAGAACAAACAATTGTCGAACTGTAAGAACTTCGCTATATCTATACATATCTAAAGTTGGATATAAGTAAGGTTTAAAATGGATAACTTTTAAAAGTGATTACTTTCAATAATTTTTTTTTAATATTTACATAGTACGTACACAGCACTCAAGTCCCATACTGTCACGGCATAAATTCGAAAAACGGAACAATTAGCGAACACTAGAGATGAGTCCGATATCATGTCACAGGTAAAAATCATCGATATTTTAAAATCATGTCATGAAATGACAACGACAAAATCATCAATGCTTTTAAATCATTTCTTGAATGAACGCGAGCTTCGGTGATTCGGATCGGGTGGTCTCGGGCCGCCCCGGGCGCTGCGGTGTGACGTGCGACGTTGCGAGACTTCTCGATCGGCGATAGGTACTGGCTGAAGTGAAGTCACAAAACTTACAAGTTTCGATAAAATGACCGGAGCGGGGGTGCACAGCACACTGCACGGAACGGCAACAAACAATGCTTTTACTTGCGTTGTTTACGTTTACGCGCGAAATGCACGGCAAATTACGAATGCTATTTTATCTAGCATTTAGTAATTTATTATCGCGTGAATCATTGTTTTGGTTAGACGAAGACGACCGACCACACGTACGAAATACGTTGTGTAATGTATTCTCGCTATAATTGCTTTTTGATACGTTATAGCGAATTTAGTTTAGTGAAGTTACCTTATATCATTGATTTTAAAACCAAGTTTACACATTTAGCGTTAAAGGCAAAATTAGTTCTGAATAAATGCTGTGTGATAGAAACATCAGTGCCATATGAAAGAGTATTTTCACGAGCTGGCACGCACTCGTCTAGGAATTGCAAAAGTTAAACAACTAATGTTTTTAAACGTCCATTGTAGCCAATAATTCGGTACAACGGGCAAGAAAATGTAAATATTTCTACAGAAAAAAAAAACAAAAATACAAATAACAAAAAAAATTAAATAACAAATATTATTGATAATTGATCATTGTAAATATACCAATCTTTTAAATGCATCAAAGAAAAGCAGAATGATAGTTTTTTTTTATTAGGTAAGTACCTACTAAGTACTATTACTTTGCCAGTCTTTTGCAGTCCTAAGCCTGGAAAAAGCATGAAGGTAAGATTGGAGGTGCGTATTTACGCGACCATAAATAACTAATGATAACTAAGCCGTTCCGCGATCATTTCAGTATCTAGTCACAATTGAAGTGACGAGATCTAATACTCAGATAAAAATCATTGATGATTTTGTCATTGTTCCCGTCACTGATATTTTTTTATCATTGTCATGCAGTCATTGATACAGAAAAATCATCACTCAGCCCATCTCTGGCGAACACACTTTTGAATAAATAACACAAACACCAAAAGTACGTGACCTTAGTCTGTTGTTAAATTCAAATTAGTCCGACTAAGTGAAATGCGAGTTCGAATTGTTATTATTATTGTTTTCAATTTGATTTAAAGCTTTAAATCAACGTAAGTCAATTATCAACTATACGATTTAAAACATATTAATAAGTTTTACAATTACAACAATAGCGTCATCAGAAATGAGAAATGAAGTAGCGCGACATCTATGGCACATCTTTTAGTTTACTTGTACTGTTGAATGTTGTATAACGTAATTAAGTCAGACGCTACAGCAGCTTCTTAATTGATACCCATAGACATAGATGGCACTGTAAAATATAAATAGATATTTCAACAGTTTTTTTAAAAAAAATAACACGTACGACAAAGTTATGAGGGGAAATTTATTGCTTTTCAAGGAAATATACAATAAATAATAAAATGAAAACAAAATTCATTACTTTTAATTTATTAATTATCAAGCAGCACTGGATATATTAATGATATCTTTGATTGTAAACCTTCAGCATTATAATGCTAGTGGCTTTCTTAAAAAGAAAAAGAAATGTATTATTTTATCTTAAAATAGTATATTTCTTTTAATTTTTTTTTATTTAATAAATTAATTTTTTACCCGACAAACATTTTTGCTAAAACATTTTTCTACAAGTGACTTTAAATAATCTCGTCGTGAAGGACTGCGTTGTTGAGAAATGACCCAATTTAAAAAATATAGATCTTGAGACTTCTTGTCATTATTTTTCGGAAGTCATGCATTCGTAATTTTCTTTTACAGACTCGAACTTTGCGTCAGTAGAGGGCAGTAGTAGTGTTAGTAATTGCAACCGTTAAAGTCCACAATTCCAATGTGCAGATGGCGCTAGTGGTAGTTTAACACGCGCTGTGGTTTGACCGCACTGCGAGTCATTAAGTCTTGCAGATTGTAACGTTCAACGTTCAGCAGTGGACTTTTGAAAGGCTTAAAAATTTATTTTTCGTCGAGCCGTCTGCATATCCTGTGCAGATAGGTTCCATTTATTTGAGGTTTTTGGGTGATAGGGATAGGGTTACGTATAGTAATGATTAGATATGGGCGTTGGGCGTTATTGTTGCTTTATTTATATTTATTTAACAGCTTACACCATTGGCTTATCACTAGACATTGTTAAATATAACACAATTGGTTTTGTTCAAAATGATTCGTCTTTAAAGGTATATACAACATTCACAAAGATAGTGCAGTTACAATAAGACAGTTGTTAACTTCAACGCAATCATGCAACCAGTTGCATTTTTTTTATGAAACCTGTTCCAGCAACAGGTTTCTAATTGCCATGTAATATTAAATTAGTACTTAATAAAATTAAATGTTATACATACCTATATGTACTATGTTTTTATTTTGTGTCTAGTCATTATTTGGTAGGTATTATACGTGGTATATTATATACGCTACAGATTTATTATGGTTGTAGCAAGAATGGGTTGATTCGTCTCAAAAAATACCAACGTAAAATAAAACACAGCAGCTTAATGCTGCTGTGTTTTATATAGTGAGTGTAAAGAGACCCTTTTACGGGCACTAAGCGAGGCATTCCATCTCAGTCCTCAGGGGTGACAACGCATCTGCATTTTAATTGTTAATCGAGGATAGATGTAGACGTCTATGGGCCACTACATTCACTTACCATCAGGTGTACTGTGTGCTCGCCCTCATCCTAATTCTATTAAAAATAAATTTGGTTATGAAATTTGAGTAACGAGAAATTATATTCGTGGATGAAAAAAGTCAAACAAAAATTATTTATAGCAGCAATATTTTTAACTTTTATTAATATTTAAAAACATCAATTGGCGAACCTTTTCACTGGTTAATCGGCTCCTTCTGTCATTAATAATTTATTTATTTATTTATTTATTTACACTTTATTGCACCTTAATAAAAAGGATTACAAAGGGCGGACTTAATGCCATTAGGCATTCTCTCCCAGTCAACCAGGGACGTGTGGAAATTATGTGATAGGTGACAAAATAAAATGAACAATAGAGTAAAACAACGAAAAAAAAACTACTGATAAACTTAAAAACAAACTAATATTATATATACAAATACCATAAACTTATATACTCCAAAATATAATACAGATAATATATAATATATACATACATATATATTATATATTATCTGTAATAATGTACCCAGCTTTCGAAAATATTCGTTCACATGGCACACTGGTAGCCAGGAAATTGCGCCTTTTAATAAATAACTTGCATAGTGTTTTTTTTTTGTTTCATTAAATAACTTGCATTCAAGGGGTGTGTCTTCGGAGTTTCGGGGCAATAATGCATCTTCTAGATATGCTCCTATTTTCGTAATCGCTTTTGCCATAGGTGAGCTTCTTGGCTGTAAATTCTTAACTTCCCGATCAAAGTCGTCCCATATGGATATCTCTTTTGAACAGCCAGGTTGCGGCGGCTCATTGGAAGTGGTGGGATAATGTGTAACAACAGAGCTGCCGATCATAGTAGCAACCTTATCAATGGCTCTTTTTTTGGAATGATCTGCCGCACATTTATCACTAAAGCCACTCATTTTAAATCTCGGATCTCAAAGTGTGCTCATAGCCAACTCTCTATGGTATTCAATGTTATTGAATCTTATTGAAAATCCCTCATTTAGTTTCGGTAGCACATTGCTAATGACAGGCTTGTATTGGTTTTTAAGCAAATTTTCACACACGTTATGTAAACCACGCGTTACAACTATCGCCATACTGGCGGTGGTGTATTTTTCTCCACTCATTTTGACCGTTGCTTGCTCAAATGGCTTTAAAATAGTGGTAAGTTGCGTGCATATAATACAATCGTCTTCAGATAGACTCATAAAAATCTCTTTGCACCAGGGCCAAAGTGGCCCGCACTGCTTCTTCCAACTCTATAAAGCGCTGCAACATGAAAAATGTTGAATTCCAACGAGTAGGTATAGATCGCTTGAGTTTTTTGTGTATATTAATGTGTTGTTGAACTTGATATTTTCTCAATCTATCTGTTGCAGATGAACTTCTCTTAAAATATGATACTTACTATATTTTTTATTTTTTCTAAAGTATCTTTAACAATTTTTAATGCATTATCAACAACTAAATTTAAGGTGTGAGCATAGCATCCAAAATGCTACCACCCTAACAAATTAATGGCATTTACAATATTTTTTTCATTGTCCGTTATCGCCAGTACTACTTTTCCGGTGAAGCCTCATGCTTCAATCGTGTTTTTAATTGGCTAGCTAGTAGTTCACCTGTATGTTTTTCACTATAGTGACCACATTCTAAAAGTACCTTTTTGAATCCTAATTCTGATGTAGTGTAATGAATAGTTATCGCTATGTAACTATTATTTACGGAAGAAGTCCACGTATCAGTTGTGAGGCATACACTCATAGCTTCTCGCTGTACTTGTTTCATTAATTTCTCCCTGCAGGCGGTGGAAGCCGATGGTATCCAACTGGCTGATATTGTTTTCCGACTAGGTGCTTTGTACGAAGGATTTAAAGCATTTGTATATTTTAAAAATCCTTTATCTTCCACTATACTCAACGGCTGATAATCCCAAATGAAGAGATGTAACAATGCTTCATCTATCACTTTATTTTCTTGCATACTCATTTTTTTTTTGGAATATATGATGGCATTGTTCTTTGTCGTTTTTGCGCTGAAGAGCCGGAGCTAATAGCGTCAGAAATCGTAGCGGTAGAATTTATTGTTAACGCTGATGCTATAGCATGTTCTGGATTTGTCACATTTATCTAGGGATATAAAAAAATGTCAATTATTTATTACTTGAATTAAAAGCTTTTTTTTTTAAATAATAGAATATTAAATAAATTTTTCTCTTGATATCTTATCGATTTTTTTAAACAACGACCTGTGGGTCACAGCATCCACTTACCATCAGGTGAACTGTTTGCTTGTTTGTCATCCTATTCTATAAAAAGATTATATACGTAGATTAAAAAATTAAATTGATAATGTAAAAATCATTTTTGATGACTTTTGGCTTTTGTCACACTCACCGTTTTTTCACTTGTTAATGTAGCTTGTGAAGCAATATTAGTATCAGGTTGTATAAAATACAGACTAATGCTTACGCTTTAAATGTAATTTTAAATTTGTTATGGTAGATTTGTATGATACCGCATTTTGACATATATTACAAGTTGCAATTTTTGCCATATTGTCTCCATTGCTAAAGTGTTTCCAAATATCACTGGTGTTTCGAGACATTTTATATTTTATACAGTTTATTAGTTTCCAACACCAAAGCCTTATAAATTATATCATCATGCAAGCAAAACAAATAAACACATGCAAAAAATAAAGGAAACTAAACAATAACACAATAACATATAAGCATAACGCACTTTGAAAGTTTTAAATACTATTACTTTTATTTCGAAACTCGAACAACGTATCATAAACAATAGTTGTCAACGGACTAATTCAAATTCATATTTGAAGGACGCTAACATCGCCCGAATATCTTCAGTTCGTAAGCAACCATAACCACAGTAACCAACAACAACTGTGTGGATAAAACAGTACGTAACTGCCAAGCTGTCAGTTGCTCACAACTAACCGGCTGCTTTATCGCCAATAGCAGTGCGCAACCTATATTTCTGCAAAAACATTTAAAGCTGAGAACAAATTATCGGACGCGGCTGACGGACGCGGCTGACGGACGCGGCTGACAGCCGCGGCTTATTGAAATCTAGCCAGTACATTTAATACTACACTGTGCAAACTATCGGCCGTAAGACGCGGACATGACCTTGCGTCGCTCTTGAACGTTCGGACTTCCGAACAGAATCTGGCCGGCTGGATGTTTGGTGCGTCCGCGGACAGTGTGAACGGGGCACGGGACGCGTCCGCGGACGTTTCGAGTGTCACAAGCGAACCAACTGCGCTCGCGACATGATGTGTAATGAAAAAAAATTAATTGAATGTGTTCATGGCCACGAATGCCTATATTTATAAAAACATATTATTAGTACATTCATAAGTACATTTTTTAACGTTTATCATCTTTTTGTAAGTCTGGATACAATGTATGAAATTCATCATACTCGAGTCGTTTTACGTTAATATCATGGATCCAAGCACTCCTTTACACTTTTTTTAGGAGGACAACATAAAACAGCTGCCGCTAACTTTATAGATTCATCCTCGCTGTCGCTGCTTGTCATATTTCTCGAATGACAAACCTTTATGGAATGACCGAAGCGAGGCGTCCGAAAACGCCGTCTCGACTACCGTGCACACCGCTAAGCCGCGTCTGTCAGCCGCGGCTGACGGACGCGTCCGATAATTTGTTCTCAGCTTAATTCTTGGACGTTACTGAAACAACCTATTGCACGATTGGCCGCAACAGGTTACATTTTTATTTTCGACGCAACCTGTTGCTGTAACAGCTTGCGAAAAAACGACTCATTTCTAGTAATGATGGACAGACATTGAAAAAGACATCGATGTTTTTTTCCATGGATTGCATCGGATTGTTGCATCGATTCATCGATGTAATATCGATGTATAAAAAATACGTCGATATTTTCTGTACATCAATTGTTTTTCTGTGGATCTGTGGTGTGGTTTAGAAATAATAAGCAAGCATCTATTAAAATAACTTTATTACCTTTACATTTATTTTGAATATATATCCCAATAATTTTTTATCTATATTTTGTAAAAACAAAATTTTACCCAATCTTTTACCCTTTAATCTATTCCTTTGTTGAGTCATTACCTGAGCCGCTTGCGAAAACAGTCTCTCTGATGGCACAATGGTGGGCATTGTTAGATATTTAGAGGCAATTTTATTTAATATTGGAAACTGTATTTTGTAATCTTTCTAAATTTCTAGAAGATTGTCGTTAAGTCTTCCAACAGGACTTGTCAGATAAACTGAAAGTTCATCCGACAAGCTATCTTCAGATTTTTATTTTATTATTACTCTTCCAATTGCGATGTACCAGTTTGTAATGATCTATACATATACTAAAACAGTAACGAAATAAAAACTGTACATTGAGTATTTTCGAGAAAAAATAAGTGGCTTTGGTTAGAAAAACGTAACTGATGACAAAAAGTGACTTTTTAGAATTTTTGTCTGTTTGTCTGTTTGTCTGTGTGTATGGTACGGCTTCACGCCAAAACTACTGGATAGATTGAATTGAAATTCAGTAAAAATGTTCTTTGTAAACCAAGGGAGGCTACATATTATCACGCCGTATGTTATAGGAGGTAAGCAGTATTGATTTTAAAAGGTTTTTCTTCGTAATTGAATGCACAAAATGACATGTTATTAGTTAAAATAAAAATTTAACTCTGGGAACATAATAATCACGCTATTTTTATAAAGGAGCGGGGCATTAATATTATAACTAGAATTTGAACGAGTCCGCACTGCTGCTTCTCGATCTCAGGAAAGTGTGGAACAACGAGAAATGCTTCTGGCTATCGACCGGGATCGTCATTCTTTGTCTCGCGCATCCGAAACGGTTACACAGAGGGCATCAGAGGTTGAGTTTTCAGAATATCCGCTCTGAGACTGCTCGATCACTTGAGTGCAGTCAGGAGCGTGAGATACGACTTGCGCGTGACCGAGAACGTGGGCAAAGCCAAGGGTACAGCTATAGTTTATAAAGAATTTTTTTAAAGTGATTTGCAATATTATTGTTAATTCAGAGATTGTTAGTTTATATATAGGAGATATAAAAATGGTGTCATAGCAAAAAATATTCCACGTGAAGAGTTTTTTCTGCTGTGACAATAAATTTGAAGATCTGGAACACCTGTTGTGGAACTCCAAAGCCCAGCGACATTATAACATATATAGGAATGACGTCTTAGCAAAAGTTGTTTAGTCTGATGGGCATTTCGTGTTGACTTACAAAAATGAAAGATCTGGAACGTCTCGAATCGTCTCGCGCATCACGTTGTTTTCCCGTCCCCGGGCTCTTAGAATTCAACATCAGACGTTTCAGATCTTCGATTTTGACGACCCCGTTGTCGCTGGCATAAGCAACATCATCCGCGTACGAAGTCGCGTGCAGCAGCTAGTCACTCCATAATGAAAATGTCTCTTCACTTTTATCAGACTTATCCGAGTCCGACTTGATTTCTTCAATTTGACGCAAATGAGGCGTCATTAAATCTTTGATTTTCCATACAGCATTGCTACAAGCTATTGCATCGTTAAAGTGATTTTTTTTAAAACTTGGGTCTAAAATGTTTGCTATAGCAAGAGGAGTTACATGTTCAATGGAACCCATTCTTTTCGTAATTTCTTGCGGAGCCAGTCTTTGCACTTCCCGTGCCACAGGTTCTCCTGCGACACCTGCTGAAGTCATTTTGGAAAATATGCGGCGGACTAAAGGTATAATTTTGCATTAATACTTTAATTGTATTTGGTTATGCAATATTTATCTGCAGAAATTTCTTTTGTGGCTACCTCCAAAGGCCGCAATATCAGGAGGGCGGATGAGGCAATGGATATTTCTGAAATGCTGAGCATTGGGGGTGCGGTGGCGAGCAGCAGTTCTAAAAATCTTTGTACTATGTAGTAAGTACTATTCCAGCGGTCGGTACGCTTTGTATAAGTTTAGTCTCAGTACTTCTACTGCTTTTTTATTGCTTTACGCAATTCGTCGCTAGCAACGCAACTTTGTTTGCGCCATGTATGAGCTAAATATGGAATGTGTTTCTTCTTACCAAACGTCAATTCTACGGTTTTCACCATATTGGCAGCATTATCGGTTACAACAGCCGTCACATTATCTTTTTTAATACCCCATTCTGCACAAGTTTTTAAAAGCATTTGAGAAATATATTGTGACGTATGTCTTTCATCGAGTTCGTACACGCCGTTGTGTTCATTTCTATTAAAATGAACAGTTACGCCTATAGAACTTTTCATATTTAATGTATCAGACCAAATATCTGTAGTCAAGGTTAAGTCTTCTATCGAAGACAATTTCTTTTTAAAAGTTTCTTTAACAACCTCCTATTTCTTATATAACCACCGTCTTAGACTTGTTTTACTTGGTATTTTATATTGAGGAGCAACTGCTTTCTTTATAAGATTTTTGAAACATTCTCGACTATTGAGAAAGGCTGATGATCTTTACAAATCATATATAACATACAATTGTTAAGTTTTCTTGTTTTCATGCCGGATTCTGAATAACAGGAGATTTCTTGAAAACTGGTCTTGATAGATTTTTGACGTTTAATAGGGATTACTTCCGTGTCAGAATCTAAAGCTTTATCCAACGGTTTTGACGTACTTTGAGAACTACTCGTCGAAGGAATAACGGTTTCGGAATCAGATTGAACTGATTTAAGTTCATCAACAACACCAATGCAAGGTGTCTCATTGGAACTTGAAGCAGCTGGCTCTAGAACTGATTGCGTGATACTTTCTTTCTCCGACGTAGTCCTTTGAAACGGAACAATTTCAATGTAAGCAGCCTTGTGGACATTATGAATATGCCCATATAAGTTTGTTGTATTTCACGAAATCACTGTGTTTTGAAGTCTTGCATTGGTATGCTTGCGTTTAGTTTTAATTTTATTGATTATAGTTTAGTTTAGTTAGATTTAGTTTTTCACAAAAGAACACACTACACTACTAGATGGCCCCAACCATTACATCAGATTTGATAGACCAGAAATCATCGCGAAAGAACATTGATTCCTACCAAGGATGATACGTGAGGCTATAGAAATTAAAAAAACATCCTAATTTCAATAGAGAAGGAGGCTGGGGTACTACCACCTTCTTGGGACCCTATAACTAATAAAATTAAAACTAAACCCAAGCATACCACTGCAAGACTTCAAAACACAGTTAATTCATTCTGCGTAGATCGGACCAAAAACAATAATTAAAAAACTGAAGGTACTCCGTGTTAACTTTGACACCGGGACGTCAGTCCCCTCAGTCCCCCGTAACCATGGGTGCTGGAAAGCACCCGAAACGTCGGGAATTAAAAATAAAATAAATAAAATGCGATAAAATCCGTAAAACTAGTTTTAATCAATTAAACTTTTATATTTTATGCAACTCTTGTGGTTCAAAATTATCATATTATTTAAGACTGAAGGTCGAGGTGTATTTTGTGTTTGTTGTTTCAATACTGGTTGTGGTTAATGGTTATAACCATTAACCTTTGACGTAAGGTACGTAGGTACCCTACGTCAAAGGAAATTATCGCATAATTGATAGAATCAGGCGTTACTTTGCGGAAACTCATTATAATAAAGATATTAATATTTAATTCGCAACCGTCTGCTTAATTATAATAATAATTAATTATAATAATAATTAAGCGGATGGTTGCGAATTAAATATTAATATCTTTATTAAATATCGCATGTCTATCTATAAAGCGAGTATCTATAGTTTATCGGAGTCGATGAAATAAACTTTCCTTGATGCTTTTCTCAGGGTTCGGGCTGACTGCGTCATTTAATAATAGTAATAAAAAGGGAATTTGTAACTCGAAGTATTATTAAGTTTTAAGTTAATATATAACTTCGCGTTATACATACCCTGTTTAGGTAGATAAGTAGGTACATTTGCTTTTTACGACATTTGTCTGTAAGATATACAATACTTAATAAAAGTATGTAATGCAGGCGTATTTAAAAATTTCATTTCATGATATGTACATACTTTTTGACATTATTTACAATTAAATATTTACTTTATGGTTTTACTTATACATGTAAACCTATTTTTATCTAAATTTACGTTTAAAAGGTGAGTTGTCCTACGGTCGGTTAATAAGATGCCCGTTTTGCTAACTATACGTTCACATGGAACAGATGAAGCCATTATATTTCTATATTTTTGAAAAAGTTTGGCAAGATGTGGATATGTAAATTTGTGGCCTCGCCACCACTGAAGGGGACAGCTCCATTTGTCGCCATGGAAGATTAGCTGTAGGTCGTCGTTTAAGTATGTGTCGATCTCTTTAATGGCTTTGATAAAAGAGTCCCGACTGCGTGCTGCTTTTGGCCTATTATTTTTCGTTCAGGATAGCACGAATTCATTGCAACTAACAACACTTTGTGTTTTTGGCCTCATTCTGATCACTAAAAACTAGAGATGGGCCGAATATTCGTTAAAGTGGTACTCCAAGTCTCCACTGTATTGAAATGTACGAATTGAGTATTGCCATGTCTTTCATAATTTCACTGTTGAAAGTATAATTTAATTATGGGTTAAATTTACTTGTAGCGTTATGTTTTTGAGGCACTGTAGATTTATTTCCAATTATATAAAATACAAATCTTGATAAAATGTTTTTGTAATCAAATAAAGAAACATTACATTACTTTAGTACATTTCACTTTACTTTGGTCGTCAGTTTCTCTAAAATAAGTCCAAATAGTAGATCTCCCGCCACTCATTTTTATCATATTATAATTATCAATTTTCACTAATAATAACACAACGAAATTTTCGCACAAAAATAGTGAAAACATAAGCACATGCTTAGGCCCATGTCAGCAATTTGCTCAGTACTAGACGATGCAATATTTAACACGTCAGGTGTGGCGGCGGGGCGGGCGCAGGCTCCGGCGCTAATCCCGTGCGCTTTTCTATTGCGCTAATCCCGTGTAACAAGTTTCGACATAAATTGGTTAGCTACTGAGGTGATCCTGCCAAATAATGTTCGGCCGAATATTCGGTTCGGTTAAAGTTTTACCGAGCTTTCGATCGAATATTCGTATTCGGTGAAATCCATATTCGGTCCATCTCTACTAAAAAGAGATAATTTGAATCTAGGATCGAAGAACGTTTTACTTCGTTCCATAAGGCCGAATCTTGTCACCAGTCCTGTTCTGAGACGATATAGGACATCTTTAGCTGTTTCCAAAATTATCTCTGTTATGTGTTTATCACTCGCCGCTAAAAGGCAGCGTGTCATTACAATGACCAGACTACCGGTCATGTATTTTTCACCACTGCTTATTTCAGTGGCTTGATGGAATGGTTGTAAAAATTTTATCAAGTCTGAAAGAAGATTCCATTCATCATTTGTGAGTGTCGGCAGATTTTTCTAATAATGGCCAGTGTGGCTCTAATTTACTGCTCCATTTCAACGAAGCGCTGAACCACAAGAAACGTTGAGTTCCAACGCGTGGGGACTTCTTGTAAAAGTCGCTTCGGGATACAACCAGCTGTATCGTCCGTTTGTGCCGTTAAAAGTTTTTACCAAGCCGTGGAGCTTGTTTTAAAATGGCGAACGATTTTTTTAACCTTTTCTAAAATTGGTTGAACTGTTGCGAGGGAATCCTGAAGTATTAAATTCAAAGTGTGGCCATAGCATCCAAATTGCTTCCGGCCGATGTTATGAAAGGCCTTCTATACATTAGCAGCGTTGTCTGCTGCGGCAAATATTATTTTATATTTATTTTTATATTATTGTATATATTTTAGGCCCCATTCAGCCACAATATTTTTAACACTTCCTGTATATTTTCATTGGTATGGGAGTCATGAAAATTGCAACAATCAAGTAAAACAGTTTTGAGCTCAAAATCATCTGTCATATAACGAGCGGTGACGGCTATATAGGACTCGTTCGATCTTGAGGTCCATAAATCTGTCGTAAGACATATAGGATAGTTACATTCCGGGCCTAATACCATTTTCATTTTCGATTTGGTTTTATTGTACAATGCAGACAACATGACGGTGGAATTTGTTTTTCTACTTGACAGTTGGTAGCCGGGAATCCACCGAGCAAACTTTTTAAACGCCCTTTCTCCACCTATGAAAATGGGTGGTACCTATTAATAAATCATAATATATACAAATTACGCGTCACGTTGTTTGTCCGCGATGGACTCCTAAACTACTTAACTGATTTTAATCAAATTTGCACACCGTGTATAGTTTGGTCCAACTTGAGAGATAGGATAGGTTTTTTGCGAATTTAAGGATTTTTAATAGGACATGACAAAGAGTCGTCGAAAAGGGCAGAACAAGGTCTGCCTGGCAAGCTAGTAGAATATAGAATAGATTAATAAATAGGAGCCGTGGTAGTTCAGATGGTTAACGCTCGCTGTAAATATAACAGAACGCGAGTAATTTTCATTGGTGCCGGCCAAGTTATTAATTGCAATTTTAAGTGCTGATTTTACCACGTGCTCGGCGGTGAAGGAAAACATCCTGAAGAAACCTGCGTGTCTGAAGAATAAAAATAATTATTTCGAAGACATGTGAAGTTCGCCAACACGCATTAGGGCAGCGCGGCGGACACTTTCTTGCCCTAAAACCTTCTCAGAACTGAGGGGGAGGCCTGTGCCCAGCTGTGGGACATATAGGCTGTAATTTTACTTTTCTTTATCAATAAATAGATCGAATAGATCTCGATCAATTTTCTTTTTAGTCTCATTGGATATTTTTTGGCGTGCCATATCTTTCTATTGTTTGCAGCATCGTAGTCTTCGGGATATGACCTTGCGGCAGTTCACGTACCAGCGGCAGATGACGTACCATCGAGAAAATCGTTTAAATTCATATTTGTCAACAACGAAGACGAACATAATTATCTTTGTTGCTGACATGTTTTCGAAGTATCTAAATGTTCTTTTTTTAAATGCGCCACCCTTTCGCTCGGCTAACAATCTAATCAGATCATACAATACCTACCTTACGCCCGCTCTAGTACGGGGCTAATTAGATCAGATAATATCAGAAGTACTGCCTTATGAAAAAACTACTTTTTCCTTTAAAACAAAACCAAAGACAAAGGTTGCCTGTTGAGCCCTTGTAACTAGTATAAATATCGCCACAAATCCGACATTTGGCCGTTTTATCGACTATGTCATACTTCTCAAAATAGTCCCATACTGTGCTTGTAAGCGTGTTGTGGTGAACAATATATTTGGTTAACCTGTTTTAGCTAACATAAATAGATTCGACGGTTTTCCTACTCGTGAACATGCTACATATAGTTGCCCATGAGAAAAACATGGATTTTCCAAATCTAAACCTCAAATGGACATCGTTTGCCCTTGAGATTTATTTATAGACATGGCAAAAGCTAAACGAATCAGAAACTGTAGCCTTCTGAAGGGTATCGTAGAATCTGACGGTATCATTGGAATACCCGGCAACAGAACCACTTCTCCTTTAAAATTTCCAGTTTAAATGGTTGCCTCAAGGATATTTCCAGTGATCTTTTTGATGACTAAACGCATACCGTTGTATAATCGTGGTGGATTCAAATTACGCAGAATAATAGGTGAACCTATCTTTACCCGAAGATTATGTGGTGGCATTCCAGGCATATCTAGTTAATTTAAAAATTCTATTGGAAAATTTACACCTTCATTTTCATTAACAACAGTATTTGCTTTATAAGACATCAGATCGCCTGGTAATAACTGTAAATGAAATGAAATGAAGATTTATTTGCTTTGAAAAAGGGTACATTTAGATGGTTATTGTA